AGCCATTCCCAACAGGTGACTGCATGTGTGACTCAACCCTGTTGAGTCCCCAAGTCTCATCAACCTTTTGATGAAACTCTTGAAATTATGACATGCTGGAATTGGTCACCAGCACCGCATTACATATACTATTGTTGCCTTTCTTTTTCTCCCCACTATAAAAGGTTGTGAAAGGTTCACATACATGTTCACCTACATGCTTTGGCTGTCAATCATTTTATTCTGTCTGTGACTTAAGACAGTAATGAAAGTCTGAGTATTTTAATGCAAGTTTTATGTGTGTGTAAATGGCCTTTCTGACGTTAATGCAATCTTATATTTATGGGGTGCCGTTAGTCAACTTCTTGGCATAATACTGATATCTTGTGATTAAGGGAACGAAACTCAAGAGCTGTCACACTGATTGAGATGTGTGTTAACCAAGACCCATATTTCATTTAATTGTTGGGGGCCAGGGAGGGTCAGCAGTGGAGGTTTGCTTTTCCACTGACTATCCCCCCTTTTTACTTTTTAAACAGAATGAATAAAGTGTGTATAAAATAACATTATAAAATGAATTCATACCTGTATGTTAGGGTAACACCAACTGCTGCAGCAACCCTAAATGTCAATGAATTAATGCACTCGAATACGCTGTCCCATGGTCAGAGGGCCATTTCCCTCAGGGTTTCGGGGAACCTACCTGCTTCTGTTTTGTGGGTCTGCGATCCCTAGCTTCAGAATTGTCACCTTGCAGCTGCAGGAGGGAAAGAGACAGGCTGAAGACACACCCACCTCTTAAGTACCCCGATTCAAAAGTACCACATCATCTTTATTCATTTCCCATTGACATTCACTAGTCACAAGGAGCTAGAGTGTGTGTGAGGGAGCTGGAGTTCCTGCTAGGCAGTCACCTTCCAGTGGTAATTCTCCTATTGTATAGGAGAGGAACTGTGAGTTTTTGGTGGGCAGTTAGCTATCTCTGCCCCAATTGCTCATTGCAAAAATTCAAATAAGTCCCTCTCTTATGTATATACAGAGGCCCGGTGCACAAAATTTGTGCATGGGATGGGGATGTCCCTCAGCCCAGCCTGTGCCCTCTCGCAATCCGGGACCCCTTGGGTAGGGTCCCTAGGCCTGGCTGGCAATCAGGGCCTATCGGAGCTTTCCTTCCCCAGGGCTGCCAGCAGCTGGTCCCGCCCCCGCCGCTGCCACTGCTTGTCATCTGCTGTGCTGCCCCCCCTCCCCTGCCACTGGTCACCTCCCTCTGCATGGGGTGTGATCACTTGGCTGGCCTAGGCTTCCATGTGCAGGCGATCGCTGGCTGGTCCTGCACAGCTGGCCCTGCACACCCGCCACACGCTGGCCGGCCTGGTCCTCCCTCTATGGGGCGATCACAGAACCCCCTCACCCCCCCACCCCGCAATCTTTTGCCCCACTGGCCACAGAGGGTAGCCTGGGCCTCCCTCTGCGGGGCTATCGTGGGGCAATGGTGGGGCCCCCTGACCAATCGCATCGCGTCTGCCTTGGCTGGCCTGGCACCAGTGTGTCATAGCATGGTCATCTGGAAGGTCGTCCGGATGGTCATTCTGCTGTTCTGCCGTTCGGTCTATTTGCATATTACGCTTTTATTATTATAGATTAGGGGCCCAGTGCGTGAATTTGTATACCTTGAAAGGAACTGTGGGCCGTGAAGCTGCGGCGGGCACAGGGGCGGGGCTCGGCCCCTTCC